TGCTCGCCCGTGTAACCTAGCAACCGTGAACCGCTCTTTGGTGGCTGAAGTCCTCCCTCTGGTCCAGGCTGTCCCGAAAGATGACTCTTCCTGTTTCACTGTAGTGTACACGTTAGATGATCGATATCAACATCCTCAGATCTCCTCATTCTCTCCCATAATGTAAGCCGCATCATGATAAGTTTAGCTTGTCGCAGGGTTCAGTAGTTTGGGTTAAACAAACCAAGTAGACAATGGTTCCTTGCTTGGTTGCATAGTAACACAGTTCATTTGTATTACAACGATTGTAATAGTATTTTTGCATGAAAAGAGTCCTGTGTGTTTTGTATTATTTGCCACTATTTCACTAGTGTCCCTCATATCTAAAAGTTGAGGCGATGGTGTCAACAAGCAGTGCTCATTTGATGTCAGCTCTGCAGCACTATTCAGAACTCTGATCTGATTCTTGTCCCCGCTGTTAACCGCCCACAGGTTGAGATGGGAATGAAAAACCATGAGCTTGTTCCAGTGGGTCTCGTGTCCTCCATAGCCAGCCTCAAACACGGCGGGTGCAACAAGGTCCTCCGAGAGCTTGTTAAACACAAACTCATGGTCTATGAACGCTCCAGGGGTAAGAAAATACGGAGGGATACTCTTTAAACCTCACAAGTCTTGGTGGGCATACAAGATGCATGTCGTATTTCGAAAGTGACGTGTGTATGTTGATTTCTAGCGGTGCAGGGTTACAGGTTGAACTATGGAGGATATGACTACTTGGCTCTGAAGACCTTGTGCGCCAGAGAAGTTATCATTTCAGTTGGCAACCAGATGGGTGTCGGTAAAGAGTCAGGTAAGAAAACCGATGTAGTCTGCATATGTTCACATAGCCATCTGTCATGAGATTCTGTCTAAGAGAGATCTAAGATATATTCTCTATATATTTATATATACACTAATAGTTAATTATTCTTGGATATGGGTAGTACATATATATTATAGTGGTTTATACAACCAAAGTGTCAAATAATTCTCTCTCCATATAAAAAAAAATATATATATATATTATGTTTTTTTTCCGCACAAAGCCTATAGTTTTTTTTTCTTTCCCTAGTCGTTCATAGAAATAGTGTTTGTGCTTTTTCCCTGCAGATATATATATTGTGGCGAGTCCAAATGACGAACAGTACGCTCTGAAGCTTCACAGATTGGGTCGTACCTCCTTCAGAAACCTGAAGAACAAGAGAGATTACCACCAACACAGGAAGAACATGTCCTGGCTATACCTCTCCCGCCTGTCTGCCATGAAGGAGTTTGCCTACATGAAGGTAATGGAACAAATCGACCAACGTATGAAAGTTATGTGGATTATAAAATAAATGTCACCAGCAGATTACTAAAATGTCTTCTCATCTTATCAGGCGCTCTATGATCGGGGCTTTCCTGTTCCCAGACCGGTGGACTATAACAGACACGCTGTAGTGATGGAGTTCATCAATGGATATCCATTGTATGTAAACAGACCGTCCATCTTTGCTGCTTTGTATATTACTTTACTGATAGCAACAGCACACGATTCCTACTCTCTGTTCCTCATAGTTTAATATGCATTGTTGTCTTCCAGGTGTCAAGTGCATGACCTGCAGGATCCTCCTGGCCTCTACAGTGAGTTCATGGAGCTCATAGTCAAACTGGCCAATCACGGCCTGATTCATGGAGACTTTAACGAGTTCAACCTTATGCTGGACGACCAGGACCACATAACTATGATCGACTTCCCTCAGATGGTGTCCACCTCCCACGTTAATGCTGAATGGTTGGTGTTTCAGTCATAAAATTGAAGATGAATGGAAACTTAAGATTAATAAAACATACGTAAAGATCTGTCTGTTATTCACTTTTTCTAACTTTGTTTATAGGTATTTTGACAGAGATGTCAAATGTATCCGAGATTTCTTTGCCAAGCGACACAATTACGAAAGCGAGCGCTACCCGACCTTCAAAGACATCAGGTGACTATGCGCTGTTATGTTAAGTTGCAATAAAAGCATCTGATATACAATGAAAATTGAGCTGAGTGCTAATTAAAAGATTTTGTAGTGGAAAAACATTTGGTTGTCCTTTCTTATCAAATTAAACAACTTGATTTTATTTACTTGAACATTGTTCAACATTTGTCCAAGTATTAAGAAAATTGCATTTTACATTGTGTTATTTAATTGTTATTGAAAGTGAAAAACAACTTACATCTTTTGTTTTCACGGTTTATTCCTACAGGCGGTCTTGTTCTCTTGATGTCGAAGTCTCAGCTAGCGGCTTCACCAAAGAGATGGAGAGAGATGGTGCATTGCTACATCCAGCTGGACCTGAGGGAGAGGAAGATGATGATGACGATGATGATGATGATGATGACGACGATGATGAGGAGGAGGAGGATGACGACGAAAAGGAAAAAGAAGAGGCTGTGGACGTTGAAGAATACAAGCATGCCATTCTGGAACTGGAAGGTCTGAAAGTCAGCGACGTGACAGCAGACATCCAAAATGAGGAGGAAAAGAGGGAAGAACATAAAGAGACTGAGACAACATCTGCTGCAAGAAGTAATGAAGAACCAGATAAGGAGTTAGAGGAAGAGTTGAATGAGGCAGAGGATGAGTGTTCGGAGCTGGAAGGCCTTTCTGCCTCAAACAAAGAATTTAAACCCTTCAGGTAAACACAAAGTGAGGTTATCATAGTCCAGCATCCAACATGAAACACATTACGTAATATGTGCCCCCAATATGTGCCCCATGCAGCTGTTACAGAGCCAACTAATCATTTTAGGACTTTTACTACGAATGCCTGGTCAATGACTTTCAGAGAATAAAATAAGGTGTGATTTGTATCAAATTAAGCAAGAATATATTATATCCCAACAGTGATTTCATTTTTTTTTTTGTCGTGCCCTAAAAGCAGTTATGTCATTTGTGTGTTTTCTCCTGCAGAGACTCGGACAGTCTTCTCCACATGGCGGAGCACAGGAGGATGAGGACGGATAGTGAGGGCACAGTGGGCAGCGTAGGGAGCTGCAGCACAATACCACCGGTAAGAACATGCAGCTCGGTAGCTTTGTGTGGTGTGTCTTGTGTGTATTCTTCTACACATTCTTGTGTGAAATTCTTCTATTTTTATACTATGTCTTTCACACTGTGTGTTATTCTTGTTATAACCTGTCAGCTATAATTAGCTGAAGCTATAGTGTATCACATGGTGCCTTTGATATATATATATATATCAATGTGTATGTATGTAAAAGAACACCAGCGCACACACGCGGCTGTTTGCAGTTTTATTATTCAAGGGCCAAAGTGAGAGCGCCATACAATAATTCACAACCACCACCCATTTCAAATGTTCTAAGGGGATGACGTGACACTTTGGACACCTCAGTCTACTTAGTAATCCTAGTTATTGGTTTTGACCAGAACCAAAACGTCCTCTAAAGCGCTTTCACAGTGCGGAGCAGTTTGTAAAATAATTTGACGGTTGACTCAAATCAGAAACAAAATGTCTACGTTCTGTTGTCTGCCTTGTACATTTATCTGTAGTAATCAGCTGCCGGTACTCCTGTGTGTTGCAGGCGGTGGTCCGTGAGAAGGTGCGCAGGCAGCTCACCAAACAGCAGAAGGCTGCACAGAGGAGACGTCTGCAGAAAGGAGAAGCCAACTTGGCGACCAAATCCAGGAGAGAGAACCAAAGCAACATCAAGTCTAGCATGGAAGATGCGTCCTTCTGGGGATAACTGCAGAGATGGGGGGGGGGGTCCTAGTGGACAAGCATGATGCCTCTGCTCCTTTTGTCTTAAGAGTGGAAAACACATGATAGCCGATGAGGAAATTCGACAAGAGGGTCTCTGCAACACCTTAACTGCTCCGTACTGCTGTGTGAAGCACACGAGGAATGTGTGAAAAACAATCTAAATGCATTCAGCACATGGAGCAGAAAACCGTTTTTCCTATGTGGATTGTAGCTAATTACCATGTTAAACATACAGTGCAGTTTAAATGTGGAGTGCTTGTAATGAGGTTGTTTGATACTTAAACCTTTTTAATTACTAATGACTTGTTTCTTTGTTGATTTAATAGAACGGTTTAAGGAAGAAATATTCTCACAGGACATATGCACCTGTTCTAAACATGCTTGGTAGTCCAGTAAGAAGATTATATTTAGTTGATACTTAGTAACTTCATAATGCGAATAAAATACAGGAATCTATTGAAGTCTGCCAGTTGTGCTTTAAGTTTATTTGGATATACTGCTGACTGCGGGACTAATTGGATTTCAGAGTCAAACCGAATGCAGGCTTGTGAAAAGCCTGTGTGTTTCCACTATGATTGTGGCTTGAATAGATCGCTCTCCCAGCGGTCGATCAGAAAAGCAGAGCTTGATTAATTAAAAACACGTGGAGACATTCAAATCACACCAGCACATTAAGCATGAAACAGGTTCTATTAGCGCTCTGCGACGCAACTCAACTGAGGCATAATATGTAAAATAGAGAGCAAGCCGAGGACTTAGCAGCTAAAACAACCTGTTTCTCAGAATTTGGTCCATTTATACGTAAGAGGCTTTCACAGAGCGGGTGAATTCAGACCTGAACAATGAGCATTCCTATTGAACAGGGTGAATGGAGCTCAGACCCTGCAGCTCCGTGCTCTCAAGTTAGTGTGTGAAGTCAAATGCATCCCACCCCCCACACATCTTACACACTTCATGTTGGCCAGAATTGTCCTCAACATGGGGGGCACGGAAGGTTTTTTCATTAAACAAACACAGAAATATCCAGTAATAAACCTTTCTCCTGTTCCTCGAGTAAAGTATGCCATCTGTGGTTTGACTTGGCAGCTTTGTGCAGGTCTTTAACCGTCCAGCTCTGTTTAGGGATTAGCCAGCTGTATGGCTCGAGGGGAGGGGCTCAGCATTCCAGCTCCGCACCTCTGTGTGTGTGTGTAGAAAAAGTGAGGGGCCCCTCTCAGCTAATTGGCTGCGGGGGTGACAACGGTGGTCCACTTAAAAAAAAAAAAAGAAACCCTGGTGGGATGTTCACACAGGGGAGGAGGATCTGGGGAGAAAAGGAGAGTAGAGGGGCTTTCAGATTTTCTGTTTATTCCCTAAAATGTTCCCACCCTGAGCTGTAACGGCGGAGGCGTTTGGTCATTTCTAGCGTCGTTTGTGCTGATTTAAGGACTCATTTTGATCAGAAAAGTGTGCAGATTGTATTTGAGGCGGCTGTGGAAGTAAACACTGAATGAAGATGAGCGAAGTGGAGGAGAGCATCATGTCGTACCTGTCACAGAGGGAGGCCGACGCCAGCGCCGCAGACTGTGAGTAACTGAGGATTTATAACAGGAAATGGACATATATTTTGTTTTAAATTAAAAAAAACTGTTACTGATTGTGTTCCCTTTTTTGTGTTTATCTCAAAGTCATTCTTCAACTTTCTTGTCTGTCTCTGCTCCCTCGGAATGAGCTGCAGCCAATTGTTTGGCCCAAAGTGGACGGCGCAATAAACTTTTAAAACTCTTAGGGTTAGGAAAGGATGACTTGTAAAAGTTATGGGGGGGGGCACATCTGCCAATTCTACGTAAATAAACACTCAGTGGGAATGCTGATTTTATAGATGTCTGGCATTTATATTTATCTTAACATTTAGACATATTCTTACAGGTTTAGTCAGAACAAGACCAAATAAACCTTGCGTTGACAAAACAAACAAATAAATCTGTCTTCACTCTGATATTTGTCCTTCCCGTGTGTGCAGTGAATGTGGTGGCCATGCTGCATAACTTCTGGGAGCAGAGGCAGACATGTCGGTCAAATGGTTCCTCCAGTGAATCAGACGCCTCTGCTGGAGACGTGGCCATCCACCCGGAGAGCTCGCTGCTGTACGAGTCTGCAGCGTCCCCTGGTCCTCCGCATGTCTGCTACGTCACGCTGCCAGGAGGAAGCTGCTTTGGTAACTACAAGGTGTGTTCATCATCATCATCATCATCATCTGTGCTGCCTGGCGGGCTTCACACGCTTTATAACGGGCCTGACCCGCGTCCATGAAACACCAGTTGTCCTCCGTGCCGCTGGAAGTGCGCTTGACCAAAAAATAAACTGCAAATGATCATTTCTTTAAAGTCACACTACGTAGATGATGTTACTCACTAAATGAAACACAGAGTCACACACACTTTTAAGGTTTCTTTGAATTGATGTGCTGTTTAAATTCAACAATGCGTCTCATTGTGGCCCCCGACAGCAGCCCCAGCTCTGAGAAGTCATGGGATCTGTGAGTGCCTTGAATGCTCTAATCTCGGTAATGAATCAAGGTCCGATCCCATGATAAGATGTAATGAAGTGTAAAATCATCATTACTTAACTAAGCGCCGGCGGCCATTTATAAACCGAACTCATTGACCCAAGTTAGTCAACCCTAGACTTACGCGCATCAGCAGACTTCTTTTGAAGTGCAAACACATGATTCCTCTTTCCGTTTGCCCTCTTCTTCACATCTTAACCCTCTCCGTTCATGGCCTCGTCATCGTCAGGTGTGCGAGACTCAGGCAGCAGCTCGGCGGGATGCGGCTCGCGTGGCTCTGATGAACTCGCTTGTCAACGAGCTGCCGTGTCGACGCATCGACTCTCAGTTCATCGCTCAGAGTTTGCAGCAGGCGGCCTCGGACAGCGCCGTGAATGTCAGTCAGTGCAAACACGCAGTATTTCTTCTTTTTTTTTTTTTTTTTGTTGCAACATGGATGTTGACCTGCACTGTCATCCATGTAAAGGTCGCCGTAGAAGATGCTTGTGATTCAAGCACCAGCATTGGAACATACGTGTTGCTGCTCCACTCCTACGAAGGAAGGACGATGCTGGAGTTTCAGGTAAGATATAAAACCACAGCCAATATTTTTTCTAGCTGTGCTACAATCATAAACATAAATAATGTGTTACTCGGGGGTAATATTAAAATACTTCAAAGTATTCAGGCTTTTTGAAGGAGTGCTTTGATGCTAAGCGATCGAAAGTTGTGTATTTATAATTGGACAGCAATTAAAGCAGTATTAGTAAGCCAAACATAACATGATTCAAAACCAATGGGGGTTATTCCACCCTCCATTGTTATCATTACCCCCCCACCTAGAATGGTTTTGCTAATGTACTCCCATTGCATCTCACTCTCAGTCAGAGCCAGGCAGGGAGTCATGGCATGAAATCTATTATTTCTACCTCTCGGGAGAAAGAGGGCTATTAGCAGGAGGAAATCGGTCCATCATCATTCCTGCTAAGGAGCTTTCAAGTAATATATACACCTCCATACGTGCCCACCTGTTCATACACATACACACAATGCAATGCATTCAGACACAGACTTTGACTCTTTACATGCAGTCAGGCCAGGAGGTGTTAGTTTGGAAGGGACACAGAATAAAGTAAAGTAAACAGACCAGCCGATACAACATGGACTTCAACCCCACGACGACTTTCGCATCTGTGTCTCATTTGGTCCATTTTGGTTAATGTATAGACGTCCTTTCTTCTATGTTTAACACTAATGTCACTGATCTTAACACATGCCAGCTGGTCAGTTACACAGCGTTTTATAAATGAGGGTGGAACCAACGTGGCACATAAAGATTTACATCATCTTTTCAAACCAAATCATTCACAGTTGCGGCGTGAGCTCAATAAAAAACCCCTCATAATATGTTATCTTTTGTCAGACCGATGTGCACAGAGATTTGTGTTTGGGTTTATTATTCAAGTCACTTCCCATGGGGTTGCACAACACTTGCCAACACAACACTTTCTCTCTCCTTGTGTATCATTCTCACCCACTTTCTCCCACTCATGTTCCCTTTGTAGGAGATGATGACAATTTTCCAGTTGCTGCAGTGGAACGGGACACTGAAGGCTCTGAGGGAAAGGCGATGCTCTCGACAGGTACGGGTCACGCCAAGGTCACCTCGCCTGGATGCTTTCAACTACGATTAACAAACCTGCCACATTCTGATGATTGTTTGTGTCCTTTCCTCCCCCTCCAGAGTGTAATTTCCTATTACTCTCGGAGAGGACTTGATGAGTACATACGCAGCAGCATGGCTCTGGATTGGCTGGGACGGGAGCAAAGGTCACCAGGGCGGCTTGGGGAGGAGCTGCAGGTGGCGCAGAGGGAGCTGGTATTGGCTCGCCGCCGAGGCATTGAGCTGCGCTTCTACAAGGAAAAGACCGAGATCCTCAGTTTGGCTCTGAGTCAAGCGTACATTCACCACACACCCGAGGCCTTCTACGAGGCACCGGATCCCACACACAAGCAGGAGCAACTTCCTTTACAAACATTATACAGCCAGGGTACAGAGGTCAAGATATACCCCACCCTGCAGTCCTTCAACAACCCTCCATAAAAGCACAAAGCAAACGGTCCGTCAAACCTCTCTCAAACACTTCGCCTGCGATCAGTCCTCCTCCGTGCTCACAATAGACGTGTGTGCCTTGTCTTTGAATAGATCAAAGCAGATGGTAGAGGATGGAAAATAAAACTGGTTTGCATGAGAACATATCAACATATCAAGCAGTGCAACACTAACACTAACACAGTGTAACACTATTTTGTGATATAGAATTTAAACACATGTGTAATGTATTTTGAACTTCAACCACTTGGAAGGCAGCGTACCAATTATTTCAATTCATTGCTAGAAGATGTACAAGAAATGTACAAAGAGCACTCTACAGCTTTGATGTATGTTCAATTATGTTGTCCTTTAAGAGTATATAATAATAGACAATGTCCACCGTAACTTTATATGCAGGAATTTTTACCTGTATATCAAGCTCATGAACTGCCAGCATTTATCAGCAATTTAGTACTTCTAACGGTGGCATTCTTCGTTTCTCCTGCTCTGCGGAATCCGGTCTAAAGGGAAATTTCTGGCCGGGATCATTCAGGATACTGAAATGTTGCATTACGTGTTGGCTGGAGGCTATTATTGAGTGACATAGAGTTATTGTTGTGACACACATTTATTTGCTAATGTCAGAGAGCTAAAGAGCAGCTGGATTGGAAATACAATCTGGTTTGTATGAAAGAGATTTAGAAGGCTGGTCACGCCAACCGCAGCTGTAATTATAACAGGCACCTGATATGTTCCTTTCGATATGATGCACGCAGGCTTAGAACATTTGATTATCTTTGGCTTGGTTTAGAGATGATTTAAAGGGATTTTTCCAGGTTTCTTTTATAAATAAATATCTTTATGACTTTGACTCATGACTGTGTCTGTGTATTCGTATGAACATTCCTGGAAATAGTTTGAGTTAAAGTATAATCTATTACTGACTACTACTATTTGCGCTAGAATTAGATCACTTTTGAATTTGTGGGTTATTTTTCTTGTATAATCTCCTTCATTGAGATTAGAGGTTACACTCATGACACCATATGACAGGACAGATGATCTTTCAAGGTTCCTCAAACCAACTCTGTTGTCGTTATTAAATATCTCTATCACAAAATATATATTGGTTTTAATGAGACTATTCGGCCTAAAAGCGTGGAGTTAATCTGTAACATGTCAGAAGGCCGTCGTGGTTTTTCAGTTTTGTCTTTTCGAAAGAGGTTTGGACTCTCTGGCTTTCCGTAGAGAGGTGGAGCAGTCACGTGACTTCAATTGCGGAGTTCCTGGAACAAACAAAACAAATGACAGCTGACCGTCAGACGGAGCTTCCTCCGCATGACGCGCGATTCGACGTGTCAACAACTGCTTTTTATCATGTAGGCAACGACACGGAGAACTTGGAGTCGCTGGTAAATATATTAACTACGAGAAAGACCGCGTAACGGGCTAAAAGCTAACTAACGCGACAACTGTTTAGCCTGGCAGAGCTTAGTTGTGTACATTAGCCAACAGTTATCAACAGGGACAGGTTTCCTTTTTACAAACATGTATTATCTAGATGTCATCATGTTATGTCTACGCTAGGACACATGTCGATCGTTTCCTTTCTATCCTCCGACTGCGACTTCTCTTTCCATCCAGTGGTTTGTTTACAACCAATCGACGAGTGTTTATCTTTGCAAAACAGCCAGCCTCCACCTGCTTATCACAAGACGGAGCTCGCTAGTGAACCCAGCTAATGGTCGCTGTTTGTGTGGCTCTTTGAGGACTAAATGATGACAGTTGATCCGCATTGTTGCCGTCAGGATAGACGTCAGTCAGCTGTATGCCAAGGTGATCGCAGAAGTCGGAAAAGCTGATGCAAGCAGACATAAAAAATGGAGGCTGCAAGACCAAAGAAGACCAAGACAAAAACCAGCTCCAAATCTCAGGTGATTGAACTTACTTTATCTTGTCTGTCATGTCTCTCGTCCATCAAAAGGCAACACAGTTGCAACGACACTCATTCTGACACTAATGAACTATTTTGAGTGTAAGGTGTGAAATAACTAAATTATAATTTTCTAATAGTAGAGCTCTATTCATCATGGTGTATTCACATGCTCCCTGCCACATTTAGCTACTGCATATGCTGAGTTATTGATCATGTTGTTTGTTTGATGTTTTCAGCTGGTCAGGAAGCAGAAGCAGTCAGAGGAAGACAAAAGAGCCACAGCTCCCTCAGCCCCCCGCGATGAGGCCTTCACCTCTGGCTTCACCGACATCCCGCTCAGTCTGCCATATCAGGAGCCGCTGGAGGAGCCGCCCCCTGAGATCACAACACGGCCTTCAAATCTCCCGTCTGAGACACAGCAGACCTCCTCGTCAAATACAGTGTTAACTGCGACTTTACAGTCATCTCGGGCATCAAAGGATTCCGTGCGTCTGACAGAGTCAAAAGATGAGGAAAAGAAGGACGTTGAAGTGGCAGCTCACGCCGTTGAGCCTAATGTTGCAGCACAGACCACTGAGTCTGGAAAAGATAAACAGTCGTGGAATCAGTTATGTGTTTTAACTCAGTTTCAAATTCCAAATGCCCCGAGTGCCCCTGCGCTGTACCCCTCTCTGCCAACTCTCGCAGAGGTTTCCACGATTCAGCTCTGCGAGGAAGCCGCGAAAAATAGGGAAAAGGGACCTGCAGTGTTGGCACTTCCTGAGCAGGAATCTTCTCCCCCAAGTTTGCAGCCTGTGGAGTCTGTAGCAGAGCTTTCTAGAAGCAAACTCTACCCAGAATTACCAGAGTCGGCTACAGAAATGCAGGTAATTGATGAGGGGTTTCAATGGTAATATAGCCAATAGGTTTATAGACATTTTCTAAACATCTTGGTATTGAAAGGTTATATTTCCTATATATATATATACTACACCGTTATAGCTACAGGATCAATAACTGCCTTTACCTGTGTTGTCAAAAAAAGTGTGTCACCCCACAACATTACATTAGTGCATAAACACTCATGTATTTGATTTAATCAACTCTGCCCAGATCTAGATAACAGCATCATTGTTATGGAACTGAAATCATTGTGTCCTTACCTGTAAACACGCATTAACATGTGAAATCACCTCGCGTTTTTCTTCTGCAGCCGTTCGCGTTGGAGCAGCTGGGTGTTTGGGAGCCCGGTGGAGGTTTGCGAGCCTGGTTGGAGGGCGTTGAAGTGTGTGCTGCAGAGTTCTGTGCTCTTGCCCGACAGGAGAACCACGAACTGACCGAACTTCTTCAGAATTACTGGCGCTGCCGTAGACAGCTGACCCAATCTCACACACTGCTTCATACACAATCCTCTGACTGCAAGAGCACACAGAATCGTCTCTGGAGCTTCAGAGATGAACAGCTCACTCTGCAGGTGTGGAGGTTAAACCCAAAAGAAGAAATAGAGTGCATCGAGAAAACTATTTAATAATAATAATAATAATCTTCTCCTGCACTGACACTGTGAATGTAATCCCTTCCCTGCAGGGTGTGTGTGCAGACCAGTCCAAGGTGTGCGGGTACCACCGCTTCCAGCAGGCAGAGTTCAGTCAGAGTGTGCTGGATGAGCTGAGGAGGCTGTTTGAAGCTCGCAGTGAACTACTCCATCAGAAGGTGGCGCTGCATGCGTACACTGCTATGCTGTCGCGCCTCCAGGTGGAATCGTACTTGTATCTTCTACTGAAAGGTCAGAAACCTAGAAATTTGACATGCTTTTGAGTGGCTTTGCCAGGCTTGTTAAAAACATGCCTGATGCACAATACTGCTTTAAAGGACCCTTGTGTGTATATTTTTGTTATCAGATTGTTCTGGCAGCCAAACACAGCCTTGTTCTCTCCAACCCTTGAAAGAGGCCATCAGTGTCCTGTTTAGCTTCACCCGTAGAGTTCTGGATGACACACAGTTCCAGACAGACATCCATCACTGGCTGGAGAGATTGGTACACACACACAAACACACACAATGTGCTCCCTTTCTACTCCTTGTTTTGTGGGTCGAGGTGTTTTTTGTTGTTGTGCTTATTTACATGGTTCTGGTCCATTCTGCAGGTGGCAGTCCTCCTCCATGTTGGGGGGTCAGGTGAGCACCTGTACCTGCTGTGTCATCTTCTATGCTGTCCTGCCGGGGTTGGAAAGTGGGCTGCACCCTTCCTCCAGGTTCGTTGGAGACATCATGTAGGGTTGTCATGGCAATGGTTGTACATAGTGACTGGAGTTTTCTTGCCAAATTTCTGCCTCAGATCCAAGTTCTGGGGAACGCCTGTGGGGTTCTGCACTTCATGCAAGCTCTGGCCGTCCTGATGTCTCCTTCAAGGTAAATACCAGAGACTGATCACTGATTCTGAGATATTCAAACTGGTTTTAAGTGATTTTCCGTGAGTGTCTAGTTCATCTTTTCAGGGTCCAACTTAAAGTCTTTAATCAGTGACTTTCTTTCTTTGTACTCAGACATCGTGCAGAGTTTCTGGGACATCTGAAGCCGTGTGAGAGCCAGAGCTCAGCAGCTTCTGGACCTGAGTCTGGTAACTGGACACTGGTTGATGAAGCGGGAGAGGAGGTATGTTTAAACGTGCAGTGACTCAATTCCTGCCAACAAAAAAAATGAATTACCTAAAAATAATTCCAGTTGTGGGTATATATGGAATAGGAAAAAGCTATTAATCAAACCAGAGGGGAAAAAAGGAAAGTGGTATAAGACAGAATTGATTGTATTTTTCAGGTTAAGACAGAATCTATTTTGTTTTTCTCCACTGATTGGGGTGCAGTTATGTTAAAAAATACCCAGTTCGCATGTATAAAGAAAATGTAATATGAATTTATAAATCGGAATGTGGTCTTTGTTCTTAGGTTTTGAGTCATATTCAAAGCTGTTACAAAATACCTTGCAAATGAACATCTTTTGACTTTCAAATATTAATGTGCTGACATAAAACATTCAAACCCCTTTTGCTTTTGTATCTATGAGAAACATCACATTTAGTAAAATAGTAACATTTTAGTACACTGAATTCAATTATTGTTCAATAAATTTTAACCCTTTCACATTAGTTTTTATTGAAATGGCTTGTTGAAATTAATAAAACACTGCGTTGACTTTCCATCCTGCTTAAAAACACTTTTAGCAGGTGTAAATAGAGACTGTCGAGACTTAATATGTGTCCTTTCCTCTGTGTTGAGGATGAGGACCCAGACCGCAGCTGGTTGATGCTCTGTGAGGAGGATCTGATCTCCCTGCTGACCCAGTTTCCATTCCAGCAGCTCTATTCGCACATGCTGGGGATGAACAAGCAGGGTGAGTCTGTCTGTCCGTCAGTCTGTCCGTGTGTTGGTTTGTATAACTCATTGAATAAACACAGTGCTTTGCTTGCAGGTGTGTATCAACCCCAGGCCTGTTCCAGTCAGAAGATGATGCGTGTTTTCGCTTTTGCCTCCTCGCTCATTGAAATCCTGGCCCTTGGTCTTCAAACCTATAACAGAGCACGATACAGACAGCTAGTTAAACGAATAGGACACATCATCCGGTCAGTGCACCAATGACATGCAGTCAAACTGTCCGTACAGCACCGCACATTGAATATTCATCCGGTCGTCTCCTGTCTTTTTCCTCAGAATGACCGTGTGTTACGTCAGTGACCACTGGGCCCAGTATGTGAGTGTAACAGGTGCTGGTGAATCCAGCTCTCATGCACACACCTTGTCTTTGGAGAAACTGCAGCTGGAATATGACAACCTTTTCCTGAGGGCCGTGTTACACGTACTCCGAAACAAACGGTGAGGAATTGGCTTTGAGTTTCCATTTTAACAGGAAATTATTTATTTTCTGAGTTTACATGTGTGTGTTCGTCTCTTACAGGTTGG